ACACCCAAAAGAACCAACGAGAGTTGTACAAAATTGATAATTGGCAGCTGTTTGAATTAAATGCAGCTTTCGTCCGTTCGTTAGGGTGTTTCCAGCGACACAGCACAGTTCTGTTAGGTTAGATTCTTCAATATTTTAACAGATTAAGAAAAAAATATCTGTCTTTGCAAATAATCTTGGTGATGGATTTATTTCTGAAAATGGATTGTTATTTCACTAAGCATGATACAGAAAACGAAAAAATAAAATAGTTATTTTTAAAATGCCATTAGATTAGAATCTGATTAAAAACCTCTTCAGTATATACTTATTTCGAAACAAAATTCGGATCCTTTGACGAAAACTACGCATCGAAAGCAAAAGAAAAGAAAAATACCGACAAAATAGACCAGTTTCAATTAGTAGTTTTTAATAATAAAATTTGCGGATTATCAAGGTATTTTAAAAAATATGAAATTAAAATTTTGGTATTATTTGACGTTGCGGATGAATTTTGACCACAGAACATGCTTATTTTAACAAGTGATATGGACAAATTATCACAAGGTTAGGCAGTGTTGCCGATATATAACGCCCAATTTTATTTTATATTCAGTAGATATTCATGGTTCAGGAGAAAATTCTGGTTCTAGAAATATCCCAATTTTTGCAAAATAAAACACCATACAACAATTTTCCATTCATCAAGTGCAAAAATAAAGTGTTTTGGTGTATTGTGGTGAATTAGTGTTGTATTTTACTGTTGTAACACAAAAGGCATCTCCAGCTGTAATCCCCATTTTTGGAATGTAAGATGAAAACTAGTTGTTCGAGAAATACTCTGAAACGCATTTTTGATTCACTGACACATTTTTGCTAGGACGAAGAAATATTCCTCAATTTAAAGAATTTTAATAGCATTAGTATGAAGACAAGAGAGACCGTAAAAGAATAGAGTGGATAGGACAAAAGATCCAGGTAATAGATGTCATCCACAGAATCAAATCCTTCAAATGGCAAAGGGCAGGACACCTGGCAAGAAGGACGGAGAACAGATGGACCACAAAAATTACAGCAGCATAGTACCCACGAGGGTACCTAGAAGAAGACCAAACTAGTCAAGAACTAGCCAAGAGACCTAGAAGAAGACCAAACCTGAGATGGGACCATGACATTAGGAAATTAGTAGGGATAACTTGGGCCCCGCATAGCCAACAATAGACAACAACGAGTAAACAACAATCATCAAAGTAGTACAGCCTACAGAGCATCTAAATATGTGAGGGATGCTACACCATAATTGGAAGTGGTTGAGTAGGCTAAGGATGATGAAGCACTGCATTAGGAACTGTTTATAAAACAGAAAAAATAAAATACTTTTGTTATGGAAATTCTCTTATTGATAGTATATAGATACTGCAGAATTGATATAAGGATAACCCGAGGAATAACTATTTAGGTTCAAAATTGATAACTATTTATTTTGTTTAATACGTCCAATAAAGCCATTTATTATTATTATAATAGAACAGAATAATATTTAATATAGTTAATATAATCAAGTTATAGTTGAAAAATATGCCGTATAGGTTATATCTTAAAATAGATTTAGCTTCGAACCTAATATATAAAACAACTCTTGACCTGCCCCCACACACACAAGATTCTCCAAAAAGTTAATAATTATTTATTAATACCTAATATAATAATATGTACTTTGAAGTGGTTGTCCTCATCACTCAACTCTGAAATGCAGTAAATTTAAGTTGTAAATTAAATTATTAAAAATTTTATATTTCATTTCCATGATTTCAAGAAAATCGTTTTTACAGTGCCATACTCTATACAGAGCCATACTCTATACAGAGCGTCTATACTCTCGCATGTACTTGTGGTGTGTGTCATCAGTGTTTCACAAGTACACGAGACCTACAGTTTATCGCCGAATCCGAACGGCACTATTTGAAGGTTGGGTTGCCTTCCTTGAGGTGGCGGTTCGCTGGTCGCTCTATTTAGATAAATAAATATATTTAATATATTTATTTAAATAAATAAAGCGACAGTACTGGCTGGGGATCGAACCCAGTACCTCTCGCTCCGCTCTTTTGCTCCCCACTACTGCTGTAGCTACGGTCGGCCACAAGAAGAAAAAAAATCATTCAAAATTGATACACATTTTTTTATAATAAGTAATCATTGATAAGTGCCATACAGCCCAATTTTGAATTAACAAAAAACTTGGGGCGACTAACAGTATTCCTAGACTAATCCTAACTAACACTAATACTCTAAGAGTCAAAGAGGTCTCCTTACAACCTCATGTTGGTTTTTCAGTAATTTTATTTAAAACAATTTAATTTATACAGATCATTAATTTAAATTGTAAATTAATCACTCTATTCACTATACAAATTTATTTACTTTTATTGAAAACAAATCTTTTAAATGTTAATACCGTTGCAGGGGCATTAACCTATTGGCATTTGTATAGAATCAATTCAATATATCTACTTTCAGATTTATGTGCTCAATTCGATGTGCAAATTAATAGATAATTAATGTAACTTGTTATTCTCCTTTTATAAGAATTGTTAACGTTCCCAGAAATATTATAGGATGAACACAAACCCATTTTTTATTTGCCATAATGGGGTTCAAACCCCAGCTTATGAAACAATCAACTTTTTTTTCTAACCACAATTTCTCTTGACGGGTGATCAATGGCCAAAATAACATTACTTGCAAATTTTGAAGTATAATTAGTGGAAAATGTTAAAAATTTGTTAACTTTTTCTACTAATTGGAAAGTATTACCGCTAATTTTGACGTTTTGAATGCTTACATTGAAATTAGAGGAACAAACTTCTACGCTGATTGAAACTACTAATTTATTAAACTACCTACTGTCAAGGTTCTGAATTAAGCTTTCCTGCTTCCCGATATTTATTTTTCAATTTGATTTACAGAAACATGGCTACTTAATTCGCAATTCCGATGTATGTCATTAATGCTTGATTAAATGCGATGTTTGTAGTATATACACAACGGGCATGCATATTATATCAGGTGTAACGAAGTGTCGATTAACGGTAATGTCTATATGTCTGCAGAGAGAACTAACACTTTGGTACATTTGCTTGTTATATCTGACCAGAAAAGCCAGTACTGGCAATATATTACTTCAATGTATTACGAGTAAATTTTATACAATGTGTCCAAGAATTATGAATACTTACAAAAGTCAAAAAAAGTTATTTATTTTTTTAAATTATTGTAATAAAAGTCTCTATATTTGAGAAATCTACAAATAAATTAAATAATCAAAATTAAGTGACTTGTATATAAATATATACAGGGGAGTTAAGAAATGCAAAAAGCGGCATAATTTTTCAATAAGGCCATAACCATCTACAATAACAAAATAACATATTATAGTGTATAATAATTTTCGTATAAAAATAAGTGTAATGTTTAAACTGAGTAAGAGACTAATTTTTACTGCAAGAGAAAAATACTTGTAGTAGTAATACTGTACTTGCGTAAAGTAATTTTAAACATTATCCGAATCCGAATTATAACGGTGCTAAATAGATTATTTTTAGTATTATAGAAGAGCGGAACAATATCTTTGAAAATATTCACAAAGAAACAATTTAAATATAAAAATATCGAATTTGCCATAAACTCAAATTATGGCATCCACATATAATTCTAATAATTATACAAAAAACGTTTGTTGAACGAATAATGGCAATCATGTTAAATACTTTATCTACAACCGTTTAGTTATAACGTTTTTACATCACTATATTTTTAATATTTCAGTTACGTTATGAGATTCATAACACAACTAGTAGTGTTATGAATCTATAACACATCTAGTTTATATAATAATGAAAAACAACTACGAACATCTAAATATATTAATTTTTGATACAAATTCCTACTATTAATTATTATAAATATTAATAACACATTTTTTACACTTCTCTAAAACAATTCTAATTTTTAAAATTATTTTTCTGGGCAAAAAGTGCCCGCGTTACTTGACCGGGCAAACTGACTTTTCAGAAAAAAAAATTATAATTAAAAAAATGTGACAAATGTCATAGTTAAAGGTGTTAAAGGTGGGCGACTAATAAACGAAAATTAAAACAGCATTTTCTTATTTTTCGGTTGTAGATAAAACGTTGTACATGACACGTGTGTTTAAACATGATTACAACACTCGTGTGATTAGAACGACTCGGTCTACGACCTCGTCGTTCTAATCGTTCACACTCGTTGTAATCATGTTCATAAACACAATTGTACTGTAAATAACTATTTTAAATTGGAGTTAAAGACGCTCACAAGTCACAACCTTTAAAAGTTAGTAAAAGGGGGGAAATTATAGATATATGATACTCTTTCCTCCTTACTTGACTCAAGGTGTCGTGACCTGATGATGTGATTTAGATATTCTCAAAACAAGCGGCACCCTTTTTTAGCAAATTTCTAATTTATGTAATTAATAATACTTGGTTAAATTTCAGAATAGTGACAATAAACTTGAACTATTTTTTACATAAAATTACTTATAAAAATGATCATTGACTAAGGTAAGGATTCCAGAGATTACTTAATAATGTAAAATTTTGATATTTTTTCTTTAATTTCAATGTTTTTGAAATTTTCTAAAATATTTATTGAAAACACATTGATACATTTAGGAACTACTTTTATCGCAATTCTCCAATTCAAGAAAGAAAAGGATTCCTCAAATATATTAAAATTTATAAAAAATTATTGACATCAATCTTTAAATGGACCAAATTCTTGGATCAAACAAAGTTAGATGATATTTTTTCCAGTTTTTTCAAAGTATTGTAAAAGATTTTTCTCATTAAAATAAGCACTTTTCTCATTAAAATAAGAGATGCTTATTTAGTGAACTTATCATCGTCATACGTTTCTTTCTTATCCCTTTCGTTAATAATTAGAGTTTTAAATATATTTAATATATTTTATGAAAGACTTACCTCGCAGTGAAATCCGTCTCCATGGTATCCAGGAAAGCAGGTACACGAAAAGCTCCCTAGGGTGTTAGTACAATGAGCAAATACGTCGCAGGGTCTGTATTTGCACTCGTTTTCGTCTGGAACGATAAAAAATCTATATAAATATGTATTTCTCTTAGTATTAACGTGCTTTTTATAAATAAAACAATTAATTGTTCATACAGCACGCGATCATTATAGCCTACGATCTCGTGAACATTATTTACTAACAAGTAAAAGTAGTAGTTTTAATTGTACTGTCTAAATAAAATTTCTGTGAAGTTTATAAGCTGTAATAAAATTAATCCTTAGTTCAAGGTCGACATGCTTCGGGATTTTTATTGTTTTAGTACATTTTATACTATGCATTATATTATGCAATACCTTCAATAATAATGTTTAATTTGTATAAATACAAATTTAAGTAACCCAATTAATTTAGAATTCATAACAAATAGTCCGAATAGAATATTTAGGGAAATTCTTTTATGTACTCCATCTTTCTAGTTAATCGTTCTGGAGAACCTTCCAACGAAAAAAAAACGTCGAAGTATCGAAGATTGTGCTTTTTTAAATTATTTAACCTGATTAAATTCATCGCAACAATATTGATGAGCGCTAATTAACATTGAATAAGGAAAATCGAGCCAAATAAAGTATGTATATAGACAATATCCAGGTCAGCAATTTAAAGATAATATTTTTAACTTTTTTTATTGTTAATTTGAAATCTCAATGTACGATCTAATAATATGCATAATTATTATGATTAATATCGTAGTTATTATAAATAAATCAACTTTTACAAACTAGTTTCTAATGCTCTACATGTTCGAAAGGGTTACCACCCTCCCTATTGCACAAATTTATTTTTCGTTCAATTTTATTTATAGCTCATTGAACAGATCTTCTTCTTATACTTCCGAATGCATTTTGTACTCTTTATTGTAAATGTTGAGATGTATTGATTTCACTTTTACAAATGACGTCAAGTAATGCCCCCCGCCCCTTGGCGACAGGTCCAGGAATCTCGCTGGCCATTACACTGTTCGACTGTTCCACCATTTCCAATGCATCTTCCGAGGAAACGATTTGATTGTTTATATTATATTTCATATTATTTTTTCTTAATTTATTGTATTTAATTTTCCGTATTCGATGTTTTACCCCACGTCATTGTTAACTTTTAAAGTTCATCACACAATATTGTAACGATGAATAGATTGAATATTAAAAAAACAGAGCCGGACTTGAAATTAATTTAAATAAATTGTGTTTAAATGCCTAAAACGAAAAAAAATATTAAGTGTGGCTTATCATTGAACCTAGGAGACCGAATTCTTTCAAAATCTGAAAAAAATGCAGGTCCGTATTTAAAAAAAATAAGTTAGCCTATGTATCTCACATATTATCAGATAATTTGAAAATCTAAAAATACTATCAGATAGCCTGTGGTAAAGTCGTTATAAGAATGTGTAATAAGTTTTTTTGATTTTCTAAAAAGTAACAACCGGAAAAAATAAAATTGATTATCAAAAAAATCCGTTTCCCCAATAACTCAGCAATCCTTTAAATTTTTGAAACTTTTTTGATGGCATCTTGGTGAACATCCCAAGGCGCAACTTTATCCCAATTTAACCATGTTCATATCTATTACGCTTACCGAGATACCAATGCTCGTACCTCGAATTTGTAGTAACCTGTTTAAAAATATTGTTTGCAAATGTTGATTTAAGCACTAGAAAAAATATGTAAATAATAAAAGGAAAAACAGTAAACAACTAAAACTTTTATGGATAAAACTACAATTCGTATAAAAAAACTATAATTTTTACATGAACAAATCGTAAAAATTTGTTTTTTAATTCAATACTAAATGTCCGAGCAAATAATTTCCTTTGTTTGTGTCTCGATTCTTAATATTTTTATAAGTTTTTTTTCAATTAATGATCTTCCCTTGTATTAAATATCTGTAATATTATCTCAGCAACGTAACTAGTTGGTCCCCATCGGATCAATTATCTAGCAACGCAACTGAAGAAATTGTTCTTAGGAGGATTATATATCATGTGCTCTACGCACATTTAATATCTCTTTAGTTACGGCGAGAACGAAGAAAAAAATATAAATAATGAAATTCTGCTTTGCAGACGGTTCCGAAAGTAAAAGTAAGTTTCTTCAGAGATCTATGTTAGTATTTATAGTAATTAGTTCTACAATTTTCACTTATAATATCACAAGAGCTTAAATTATTTTCGGAAATTTTTTTGAGGGCATGAATATTTTGAAAATTATCCCGAGTCGAAGACGAGGGATAATTTTCCTAAAATATTCGTGCCCGAAAGAAAATTTCCAGGAATAATTTAAGCTTGCGTGGTATTCGGTAAGAAAATTTCACACCTAAATTTGAAAAAAAAAAATATTAATCCAACATGACATTTTAAAATAATTTCAATTTGTTAAGTTGGCCAAGGTATTGATGTTTTTGACAAGAAATTTGAAGAAATTCATATGTAGGTATATCTAACATATTTCCTTAAATAAAAAATATTACCAACCTTAGTTACAACAAATGCTAAAACTCAAATGGGTAATATTTCAATATATAGACATTGTAGTTCATTCACATTATGATTGTAGATCTTATGTTTACCTTTTCAACTGTCAAAAAATTTCCACTAAAGTTTCGTGGCGCCTCGAAAAAATTTCCGGAAATTTTTTCAGTTGCCATGGTAACTAGTCAACATTAAAGCATGTTATTGGTTGAAAAGTAGAGGTGTGAAATTTTCAATATAAATAGAAATCTACAGATAACAAGAGTGATGAGTGGTAACCTAATTCTTTGCTTAATTTAAATCTCGTTTACTTGGCGTTTTTTTGTTTTAATGTGTGTAAATTAAGTAATGTTTGTGTTTCTAACAATATAAACCTTTTTCCTTTGATTGTATAACCGATCATCATCATTTTTAGCTTATTCAACTATTTCCAATTATAGTGTAGTCTCCCTTACATACTATCTTTATAGTTGGGCCCATTGTTGTCTATTGTCGGCTATGCGGGCCCAAGTTATCCCTGCTAATTTCCTAATATTATGGCCCTGGAACCTCAGGTTCCTGGTCTTCAACCTCAGGTTCGGCCTTCCTCTAGGTCCCTTAATTCCTCGTGGGTACCATGCTGTAATTTTTGTGGTCCATTTGTTATCTGTTCTTGTTGACAGGTGTCCTGTCCATTGTCATTTGAGAGATTTGACTCTGTTGATGACATCAATTACCTTGGCCTTTTGTCGTATCCACTCTATTCTTTTACCGTCTCTCTTGGTTATTCCCACCAATAAAAACCCAAAGTAGCTAGGTGTTACACTCGATAGAACACTTTCGCTTAAAGAGCACTTATCAAACACCGCAGAGAAGCTGAAAACAAGAAACAACATAATACAAAAATTGTGCGAAACATCTTGGGGCGCTTCAGCATCTACTCAGTCAGTTCTGGATCTCGTCTACTAAGCTGCTAAATACTGTGTTCCGGTATAGCTCAATAGCCCACATGTCCACAAAATAGACGCACAGCTCAATAATACAATGTAATGAGAATGATCGCTGGTGTTATTAAATCCACACGTACAGAATGGCTTCCCATCACATCCCACCCCCAAGTCTGCGTCGCATAAACGCTCTGTACAGAGAATTTAACAAGATATTGGACAACAGAGAACTACCGATCCATACAGACATCGAGGTTGCTAACCACAATCGCCTCCGATCCGATCCAAACCAAACCAAGACCGCACTAAATGCAATTGAAGACGAATGGAGCACCACCGACGCGACGCTTGGTATCAGGAATGGACGTCGAAACAAAACAGTGATATGCCATGCATCACCAACTCACCACCAGGTTTCGACTTACCAAGGAAAACCTGGTGCACGCTAAACAGAATTAGAACGCAGGCAGCATGGCAGATGCGCCTATAATTTACACAAATGGGGCAAGAGTCCAAGCCCCTACTGCGAGTGCGGCAAAAAATCAAACCGTCAAACATATCGTGGAGGGATGTCCTGAAACGGCTTATAACGGCAGACCAGAAGATTTCCTGTTGGCAACTCCAGAATCAATAGATTATATTAATTTGTTACATGTTCGTTTGTATTTTTTTTTCTTTTTGTCATATACGTACTTTGTGTCTTAATATGCCACACGATAAATAAATAAATAATAAATTCACATCATACTTCGTTCCATTGAACGTTGTGCGTCCTGCAGGTTACTTATGATGTCCGTTTTAAGTGTCGACACATTGGTCGAATGTTTTCTTCTTTATATTAAGTGGCATTGAGTTGATGATTGAGTTTTTTCCATAAGTACACAATGCCAACTTAATTCTTCTGTTGGTTTCTGGTAGTAGAGATCCCGAGCTGTGTGTTTGTTGTCCCAAATATATATGTTCATCTACTGTTTCCAGTGTTGTGTTATTTATTAGAATGTCTTTTCTTTCCACTAGTTCGTTGTACATTACTTTAGTTTTTGGTAAATTCATTTTGAGAGCCACTGCTGACTGTATTTAGTTCATTAATTTGTGCTCGTAGTTCTTCAGACTATTGGCAATTAGGACTATGTCATCAGCGAATCTTAGATGGTTAAGATATTCTCCATCTATTTTTAATCCTCTGTTGGTCCAGTCCTGTTTAATTTAACCTTAGAACATCTTTCCTCTAAGTAGCTTTTCAGGAAGAAGAAGAAGGAATGAGGTACCTGTTTGTTGATATTAAAAAAGAGATCATCTTATATCTAGAAACACAGCTGAGCAACATTTATTATGTTTTAGGTTATAGCCGATAGAATTTATCAATCTAAATGAACCTGGTCAATGGATCCATGCTTTCGTCGGAATCCAAATTGATGTTCAGGAAGGATGTTATTCAGTAGAGAATATATTTTTTTAAAACATTATTTTCTTTACGTAGAGAATAATAAAAAACAATTGGATATTATTGAAACTAAGTATCAAAAGATCGTCACTGACCTTTCAGGTTCAATTATTTAAGAACGCAACGTTCCATATGGCAACTATAAGCATACCGTAGGTACTGCGCCTACCACTATTAAAGGTACTGTTGCTGGCCGAACGTCTATTACAATTTTTCTTCCTTGTTCTCCTCTGTCTCTGCTATGACAAGCTAGAATCAAATCTTATTAGATCAGCGGGTTGCCGCAAAGTTGCTACACCGTGTCTGCTGCAATCCGGGTATTATTTCTAATTATGCTATTGCGGTTGTTTCGAATGCTCGTCTTGTTCTTGTTATTACCGCGCATCTTCGAGCCGCACTTGGAACGAGTTGCTTTCATACAGTTTTGTTCCTCGGAATAAGTATCAATAAACGATTAAACGATACAAAACATTCGTTTCGATCCGATCGGATGTCCCGGCGCGAGAGTAATATACTGACATATGTCATTAATCATAGTTTTCTTTATAAAACTAGGAATGTTGTAGTAATACAGCGTTACTTTACTCAGAGATATTAATGAAGATGCATTGGATAAAAAGACTAAGAGTCTAAGACTTTTAAATTCATGTGGATGCAACGAAATATCATTTTTTGTCAGTGTTGTTTTTAGTTTGACATGTTCCTTGACAGATTTGAATTTTTGCGGGTTTATTTTTTGTTAATCTTATAACTGGTTTTATTTGAAAAGTGTATAAATCTGTAGAGACATTGGACAGACGTTGAATTACAGTAATTTTACTGTGAATCTTAGAAAGATGCTTCAAAAATAGTTACGTGTCCAGTGTGCGATCGTTCCCAAACAAACATCGGAAAAATAATAGAAGAGCTTTTTACTAGTAGATAATTATATAATATAGGTTCGGTCTTCGTCTAGGTCTCTTAATTCATTGTGGGTACCATGCTGTAATTTTTGTGGTCCATCTGTCCGTTCTTCTTGCCAGGTGTCCTGCCCATTGCCATTTGAGGGATTTGATTCTGTGGACGACATCTATTATCTGTGTCTTTTGTCGTATCCACTCTATTCTTTTATGGTCTCTTTTGGTTATTCCCAGCATATTT